CTTTACATTTACTACATTCAAATGGCGTGTGAGTATGGCACACAACGCATCGTCGAGGACCACCTTACACTTTTACGGAATAATGGACATTATTTTTAATGTTATTAAAATTTGAAGCAGTTGAGTCAACAACTATCACCGAATTTGGAGATGTTGGTACGGATGTCAATAAATCGTTGACAATGTTTACTCGAAACTGTAGTTGTGATAATGGTTTCTGCATTTTATAAGCTGATTTTTTAATTGCACGGATACTCACCTTTAGCATTTATATCAGATATGCTATGCTTTTTAATAATTGTTTGTATTCTCTTACTTCAATATTTGCTGGGAATTCACCATAAGCGAGGATTTCGACTGACTGATACTGAAGCTCAAGCAGTCCAGCAATAGCTAATGAAACTAGAGCATGTTCATCTATGACACGCCATCAGTTTTCTCGGTATCACTAACTTCACCGACAATATGCGGCGTATAAACAGCATTGACTTCAGAGGATAATTGTATTCTCCTAGCTTCTTCATCATCAAGTGTTAAGCAATTTTTTTTTTGGCATTTTTAACAACAACTCCATATATTTCGAACAATTTGTGAACTAAGAGTCTGACACACATCAGTTCGTTAGCAAAAATTATTAGCTCTAATATGCTTGTTTACATGAAAAATCATTATATGCATCGGCCCATTGGTAAGTAAAATTTCTAGTGAACAATACTCATAAATTTTAAGTATTTTGGGTCAATGTATTCGAATGAAAGGTATGGATATATAAAATAGGGCTTATTGATTATTGAAATTAACAATTATTTTTTCAAATATTTTATTTCAATAATTTTTTTTATTTAATTGAAACCTTATCTAATTTCGGAGTTCAGTGAAAGTGTCTCCCATTTGGATCCAGATAATTGGAATAGAATTTCCTTAAATTTATTTTCTCAAAATTAACCATATATTCACACAAAAAATAATAAAAATAATATAAACGATAACTATTATATGCCAAGACATATACTCGATTAAAGTGCTGGTAAGGAAAATTACCAGTCGGGCCGAAATGCGATAATAAAGCTATAAATAATTTAATAGACAAATTTGGCGCGCTAGTGGATAACAAAAATCACAAAATATTAAATATGTTACAGACCTGGACTTTAGAAATAACTATAGGTAATAATGTCATTGCAACAATGACTGTAAGATTAATACTTTATTATCAGAAACGACTATGGTAAGGTGATGTATAAAGGTGACGAGATGTCGAACATTTGGGCAGTTAAGGTTTCTTTGTAAGTTTCTCAAGGAATTATTTCAATATCTAACTATTTTATATATAATTGAACTTAAACAATGTGAATACTGTCATAAAACTTACAATGATCCAAACGTTGCTTTGTAAAACTCGATTCAATACTGAATTTCTACATAAAATTCAGAAGAACGAAAGAAGAGTTATATTGAATCGTTTAAAATCTGTACTTATTGAGATTAACATCGAAATTGTTTCTTTCATTATTACTTAATTAATAATGATAAAATATGCAAATTTATAAATTCAGTTCTCAGATTGAGTGAGTATTTGGGATCGAGAACGTTTGTTTCACACAAATACACAGCTTTGAGTTCAGTACATCGAAACTTTAGGAACTTTAAGAAAAAAAAATATATATATGTATATTATTTCTATATACTATAATATACATGTTTATATATAATTAATATTAATATTACCAGTATTTGAATATAGACTACTGTTCCGAGGGCGTATACAGTTGAAACTGAAAGCAAAATGTCTCAACATGACTTGAACTTATAAAAAATTTTCTGTATTGAATTCGTCTTTTTTATATATTATATATAAGTTTATACGTATAATGTATTTATCACAATGAAATTACTTAGATTACTGAACGCAATCTTAAATTAAAGTGCCAAACACGCATTTTAATATAATATTAAAACTGACTATCGTGTAACAAACAGGGGCAAGAGATCAAAAAAATTGTACAATAAATTATGTTTTGTTGTACATTAATTCTAATAAGCTTCTAAGCAACTGGAGACGACAAATTATTTTTTTTCGCAAATGACACATCCAAAGATCAAAAAAATGTATTACACAGCCATATTAAACTATTTGTAAAACTTAAAAGGATGACCCATTCAGCTTATGAAGAGCATAAAATTGTTTATTCTTCAACTTTAATTATTTTAACTTTTCGTATAAATTTCAAAGAACTTCTCCAGTCGAGATTAATACAGTTTCTGAAATTGAACGAAATAGTACATAATTATGGAATCACTAAAAACATATGAAGTCTTGAAATCCGTTCTTGTAGTTCTGGTCGTAATTGTGTTACTTCACTGGATTTGGACGCGAAGAAAAATATATAGGTTTGGCCTGAAATTTCCGATTGAATTTGGTTTCCCAATAATTGGGTCGTTACACAAAATAAGAACTGTAAACTGTAAGTGTTAATTATATTTATATATCTGTAATATATTTATATCTATTTTATTTAAGCTATAATAAGCGGGCTTGGACAAATTATGAAAGACTGCAAAAGTCATACCGTTTGCTGCTGGATAGGATTATTTCCAATAATATTGACAGCTGATCCAGATATTGCTTCAAGCGTTTT